TTTTTAGTAGAGATGGGGTTTCACCATGTTGACCAGGATGGTCTCGATCTCTTGACCTCGTGATCCACCCGCCTCGGCCTCCCAAAGTGCTGGGATTACAGGCTTGAGCCACCGCGCCCGGCCAAATTTTCTATTTCTTCTTGTGTGAGTTAGCACAATTATTTGATATTTATTTTATATTGCCCAGGTTAGTCCCTAACTCCTGGGTTCAAGTGATCCTCCCACCAGGTATAAGTCACACCACACTGGCCAATAATACCATATATTTGCAAGCATAAACACTCACGTATCCTAACAGCAGTCTCGTAGGTATAAGAGTTATAAGCAGATGAACGGTATTCATAAAGAAACAGGCCAAAAAGCTAAATGTATAAACATACGTCATATGATTGGTAATTGTGTGCACTCAACTTTATAACTGTGGTCATCTGAAATACCAAGACGGGCAACATAAGTCTTTTGATGAAATCAGTAAGAATACACAATAAGTTATCATCACACATGCATTTACTCAAAGAGCCAAGATCTCAAAACGTTTTATCTTTCACAAGTACAGATGTACAAAAAGAAGATCTTTTACTGAGGAAGTTGCAGTGTTTTTACATACATACACAATGCTTACAGAAATTCAGCTTTGTGATAATGCACTTTCATGGAGTCATATCTGCAAAAATGCATAAAATGAAATAGAACTTTCTAAACATCTTTACACAATTTATCCCTTCGTTATTCAAAATGGAGGACTTGAAATCATAGGGAGCTAAAAAAGAAAGAAAAAAATTAATAAAAAATATAAATAAATAAATAATGGAGGACTAAGGAGGCTGGGCACAGCAGCTCACGCCTGTAATCCCATCACTTTGGGAGGCTGAAGTGGGCAGATCACTTGAGGTTAGAAGTTCGAGACCAGCCTGGCCAACATGGTGAAACCCTGATGCTACTAAAACTACAAAAATTAGCCAGACATGGTGATAGGCACCTCTAGTCCCAGCTACTCAGGAGTCTGAGGCAGGAGAATCACTTGAACCTGGGAGGTGGAGGTTGCAGTGAGCCAAGACTATGCCACTGCACTCCAGCCTGGGTGACAGAGCAAGACTCCATCTCAAAAAAAAAAAAAAAGGACTGAGGAGACAGAGCAAAATGGAGGAATAGAAGAAGGCTCCAGCTATCGTCCCCCTCCACAAGGACACCAATTAACACCTTCATAAGGTATTAAAAATCAGGTGAGCACTCATAGTACCTGGTCTTAACTTCGTAATGCTGAAAGAGGCACTGAAGAAATAGAAAAAGCAGTCCTGAATCACTGACGCCTCCCCTCCCCCTGCAGCTGTGTTGTGGTACTGAAGGTATCTCTGGGTGCAGGGGAGGGAGAGCCCAGCAATTGTGATGCATTGAATTCAGTGCTGTCCTGTTAGGGCAGAAAGGAAAGCCAGACCAAACTCAGCTGATGCCTGCCCACAGAGGGGGCATTTAAACCAGCCCCAGCCAGAGGGGAATCACTGATCCCAATGGTCTGAAATTGAGTTCCTGCACACCTCGCCACCAGTGCTCTGGGTCTCTAAGTAAACTTGAAAGGCAGCCCAGGCCATGAAGACTGCAGATCTCAGGCGAGTCCTAGTGCTGAACTAGGCCCAGAGACAATTTATTGGGAGGGCAGGTGACATACTGAGACACCAGCTAGGGCAGCCAAGGTGGTGCTTGCATCACCCCTCCCCTAACTCCAGGCTGCACATTCCATGGTTCCAAAGGAGGCCCCTTCCTTCTGCTTGAG